AATAGCTAGAGGCTTAGACACCTAATCTATTAGCTCCGTGTGGAACCTAAGATGCATTTCATCATTCCATGGTGACTTGCAGGCATCTAACTTTTCTTAAGTTGTATTTTTAACTTTGTTTTTTTTTTATTTTTATTATTTCATCTGCTAAACCTTCCCCCTTCCCATTAGCATTCACTATGTTAGGCATTCCTTCAGACTTCTCAGTGAAGACTGAAACAAAGAAGTCATTAAGCATCTCTGCCATTTCCAAGTTTCCTGTTACTGTTTCTCCCTCTTCACTAAGCAGTGGGCCTACCCTGTCTTTGGTCTTCCTCTTGCTTCTAATGATTGAAGAGTAGTTATTAAATTTGTTCCCCATAAAGGTACTTAGACTAATCAAGTCACCCCTAAACCTTCTCTTTGTTAATCTAAATAAATGGAGCTTCTTAAGTCTGTCACTATAAGGCATAAGATATTACATTACCAAATCCCTCATCTTCCTCCCCCCTCTTCATGTAAGTACTGGTTTACTATTTCCCTTTTGGAGTAAGAGCACTAAAATTGCTCCCAAAGAAAACTATTAATACAGAAATGCAGTACACACTTTTGCAAGCAGATTGGTTTCATCAACACTTACAGAAGAGAGATGTTTAAAAACTGGATGTAACTTCAGAACCAAAACTTTGTTTGGAATAGTTTGGATTTTTTTTTCCCCCACACAGGTTCTGATTTCTAATCTATACACCAGGAATAATCAATTTTTTTGTCAAGGTCCAGATTTCTTGGTCAGGGCCAGACTCCAGAGAAAATACAAAAACAATTAATAAAGATTTTTGCAGTCCATTCAAAAGCATCTGGCTGTCTAGATTTGGCCTGCAGTCTACCTATTGACTATACCTGCTATACACTCTTCCTCTTTAGAAGAGGTCTGTGATTGGCACTTCAATTAATTCAGCAACAAGCTTGACACCATTAGTGAATTTGGCAACATTCCAAAAGATTGACAGTGTGCAAATGCATCAGTATTCAAAAGAGCCAAATGGGATGACATGGATAATGAGGGATTCAATCAAGAGTTTAAAGCAGAGGTGAGCAAACTATGGCCCACGGGCCACATCCAGCCTCATGACTCCCGGCAAGGGAGGCTAGCCCCCGGTCTTTCCCCCACAGTCCCCCCTCCCCTGCAGCCTCAGCTCGCTGTGCCGCCAGCGCTGTGGCCCACCGCTCCTGCCGGGGGAACGGGTGGTTGGATAGGGGGTGGAGTCCCAGGGGGCGGTTAGGCATGGTGGTGTGGATAGGGATCAGAGCAGTCAGGGATTAAGGAGCAGGGTGGGTTGGATGGGTCGGGGATTCTGAGGGGGGCGGGAAGTGGGAGGGAGCGGATAGGGGGCGGGGGCCAGGCTGTTTGGGGAGGCACAGCCTTCCCTACCCAGTCCTCCATACAATTGCGCAACCCCGATGTGGCCCTCGGGCCAAAAGTTTGCCTGTCCCTGATTTAAAGGGTGGGGAATATAATGCCTAATCAACATGGCTTATGGAAAATAGATCTTGTCGTTGCAAAGAGTAAAATGAAGCTTGACATGTTTAGTTGATAAAGGTAATTGTATAGTTGTAATACATTCTTATACACTGTAAACTTCATATTACTAACTTGTATTGTTATAGCGATAGGAGCCCTAATCACAGGATCCTATTGTGCTAGGTACTGTACAAACAACAAAAAGATAGTTGCTGCCCTAAACAGCTTAATTTGTAATACTGTATTATATAGCACTGGAGTACTGCATCCATTCCTGGTTTCTGCATTTTTAAAAGGGTACCAAAACATTGGAGAGGGAACAGAAAAGATCACAAATGATTCAAGGGCTAGAAAATTGCTTAGTGATACAAAAGGAATTCAAGCTGTTTAGCTTATCGAGAATGAGAGGTGATTTGATTAGTATAAGTACCTTTTTTATGGGGAGAAATACAGGGTACTAAAAGGCTTCCTCCCTCCTCCCCTGCAGAGAAAGGCATAGTGAGAACCCATGGCTGGTCATGTTAAGCTAGACAAATTCAAATTGAAAATACTTCACAGGAAGTGACTAACCACTGGAACAAATTATCATGGGAAGTAGTGGATTCTCTCTCTCAATGTAATCAAATCAAGACTGGATTCCTTTCTGGAAGATATGCTTAAGTCAAACGAGTTTATTGACTCAGTGCTAGAAAAACTGTGAAATTCTATGGCATGTTAGGTCATCATACTAAATCTAATGGTGACTCTTGCCCTTAATCTATGTATCTATTTTACAATATACCCAAGAAATGTAGTGTTGAAGTGCATTCAAATATAGACCAGCTCCTGATCTGCCAAAGGCTCCGTGCATAAAGTTAAACATGTGCCTAAGCTCTTGGCCTCAGACACATTTTAATACTGATCTTGGAAGAGGTGATGTAAATTCTAATTGTTCATTCTGTTACTCTTTCTTGCAGACTTGAGGTGGAATATTGCCTGTAGAGCAACTGGTCTTTTCATGGAATAAAGGACAAAGATATCTACCACACTGGATGTGTTTATAAATAAAAGCTTATCTGAATATTTGGGATGATGTCTTCTGTCAAACTATCAAATGGTTCTGAGCACTGAGGCTTATGCTGTAGCTTACTATGTAACAGCAACTTTTTACACCAAGCTTAAACAGACGAGCCTTTTAGCACAGGAAAAATGTAGTGATAGCATGCTATCTCTTAGCACTAGCAAAATGAAACTGTCCTCTATGCTGAATTGAGTGGTTAAGAATCTAGATACTTGTTCTTCAAGAATCTGTCTTTTGTACCATTAAAGTAACTGTTTTAGAAACAACTCTTGCAGAGTCTGACTTTAGTTTCTCTCTTCAGGGACATGTGAGTTGAAGCAAACTAAGTGCTTACCAGGTTGGAGCCCTCATAAAAGTGTGATTTAGAAATGAGGAATCTGGGAGAGCTGGCACTAGTATCAGGGCCTAGGCAGTTGGACTGTGCTGGTCTCAACTCTCAGGAGGGAGCTCTCCAGAAAGAAAATCTGAATCCTGAAACTAGCATAAAAGCATGTGGGTCCAGTAGGTGGAACCTAAACACTGCAGCCTTGTGACTGTCTAGAAGCTGGGAGAGCTTGACCAGAGCTGTGACATCCTAGTCTAGGGCAGATGAGCTTTTGCCACTAATTCAGAACTCCTCTGCCTCAGTATATGATTAGGTCTATGGTTCAACTGGCCTGGGCCATTCTGCACCCTAAAGCCTCCACAACTTCTGTATTTAAATTCTGATTTTTAGATGAGCCAGTAAATGATTCTTAAACAAGTATGACTGCCTTCCTGAAGGTTTTGGTTAGATGGTTGCTTTCAAGTTTGGTAAGATGTCAGCACAATAGCTGTCAAGTTTCATAAACTCATTAGGGGATGTTTTGAAGACAGTGGATCTGCTGCACCAAAACTTGTTTAATGCTGGGATGTGATAACAGGTGTGTGAATAGGAATTGCTTGCTGGTTAGGGGGGAGGGGGGGGGTGGTCATTAGGACCCAGCAGGGAAGGGTGATGTGGCTTACTTCCTCCTGATGTGTCTTTGCTGCCAACATCCAAATCTCAGAGCACCTCCTCCCATTCTTCTGTTTGCATGGTGCTCCGCTCTGAGGGGGAGCTATGCTACTACTGAGCTAACTGCTGAATGGGTGGGAAGGTGGAAAACATCCCTAGCAGCATTCCTCATGCTAGATCTGTACAGCCAGCAGCAGTAACACCCACCAGCATCATTTGTGAGGACTTACAACTCGCAGCACCTTTCACCATCTTCAGTACTTATCCCCCAGGCTTAGCCTCCCCAAAACCACCTATGGCAGCAAAGGATTTCGGTAGGTCACAGAAACAACCTGGATAGTTTGTGGGTGTATGGTGTTTTTTGTTGTTGTTGTGTGTGTTTGTTTGTTTGTTTGTTTGTTTTTTTTTAGGCTAAGAACCACTCTGCTAGATTACCTGAAAGTGAAGTATGCCATTATACTAGGGTTGCCAACCCTCCAGAATTGTCCTGAAGTCATGACAAATTAGATTGTCATGTGATGAAACCTCCAGGAATACATCAGACCAAAATTGGCAACCCTAGATTATATGGATATCGTGTCCACTAACTTTCTGAGTGTAAATTTTTGTGGGGCCACCGGGAGATACTAAGGCCTGACTTTAAGAAGTGATGAGCATCCACAGCTCCCATGGACACTAATGGAGTCAACACTCCTGACAATCAGGTCCTAGGTCTCTCAGTTTGCACAACCAGAATGAATGGAAAATTGGAGTGAAAGCTTGACCTTATAAAAATCAAAGACAAAACTCACTGACTTTGAATGGAGTCATACTATCCTCCTTGAAAATTGGACTAAAAACTCTTCTGGATCAGTCTTCACCACAGTGATTAACAGGGAAACTCTGCCCAACGTAAAAAAAAAAAAAGTTGCTAAAGGGGTAGGGAATAATCTTGAAAATATTCCATTATATAACTAAATCCTGTGCCCTTATTTGGAATACTGTGTGCAATTTTTGTCACCTATCTAAAAAGAATATACTAGAAGAAAATGATTTTATGCATAGAAAGACTAGTATATGAGGAATGCTTAAAAGATGAGGATTATTTGGCTTTACAAAGTAGACCAATAAGAGGGGATATGATAGCAATATATAGAATTTTAGACCTATAAGAGATTTTGAGAGGTCATCTGTTCCATTTTCTCTTCTCTTCCCCCCCC